TGTGTTTGCGATATTTTGGGATGCGTCGGGCGCAGGTCCAGCAAGCGAGCTCGTTTGTCCTGGGATGTTTGTTTCCATCGCCGAGCCAACGTTCCGCTGGATTGTTGCCGGACCTATGCGTGCCACAACGGACGGGCAAGTGCTCCTGTTGTCAGCTGCGTTTGTGCGCAGGTTACAGAGTAGGCAGTAGTATCAAGCGCCATCGCGGGTGCGGGGCGTTTTGCAAGGCAAGAGGAAGCTGTTTGCTTTTATTCATGTCCGCTTACAAGGCCAGCAAATAAACCGAAAGAGAAGCAGCTTGGGAAGGAGTGGCAGGTATGGAAGTAGCTAGCATTTTTAGAGTGATTTTTGCCCGCTGGAGTCGACCGATTGCCATAATGTGAAATTATGAGCCTTCTTTGAAGGGTCACCTTGATTGAAACCAAACTGAGCCCGTGAGGAGCTTGCAAACCCATGACATGTTTCGGAGGGTTGCTATATGTCTAACATGTCCAGACCCTTGTTCGTGTCAAAACCTACCTTCAAATGGTTGGTTTCATGTAGGCGTCCTTGCAACCAGGTGCTTCGCAGGTTTGACACAAATCTGGGGGTTGATTCTCCATTCTTTCAACCATGTCAAGAAGCAGCTGACTTCCCTGAGCGGCATATTGCAAAGAAAGATCTCTGCAAGGAGCGATGCTCCATTCTTTTGGAATATGTCAAGAACCCGATGATTTCCCTGAGTTGCATTCTGTAAAAAAAGAAACCTAAGCAGCAGGGCAGTTACCAGTAGAACAATAGTCAACTCCAAATCTGCCAGGCCATCCAAGCCGACCCTGCCAGCGCGCTGCTGTACTCCAACCGCTCAGGCCATGCACATGTTGTTGCCAGCTGGGCCCATTGAATTATTCTAGAGGATGATTCCCCATTCTTTGCAACCATTGTTCTTTTCAAAAACCAGCTGTCTCCCCTTGCAAAGGACGGTTTCCCGAAAAGACGGATTTTTGGAGAGAGTGGAAATGGAAGCTACCCCTAGAATCGTAGAATGATGCCGGGTGTGGTGTCCCTGGCGTCCTGCACCGTCTGAGCGCACAAAAGACTCTCTGGTTTAGCTTGACTAGGTTTTCCAGTAGCGCTTTTACCTTTTTTGGGGGAGGGTTCCCCTACTAAAGTAGACTACAGAAAAAGGGTACCCTTATTCTAGCCTCTCTACTAGAGGACCTAGTTGACACAACCGCGTGTGGGCGGCAACTGAGTATGTCACTTTGGAGAGTCAGCGTCCTATTTGGCCACTCTGTTTCACAGCAAAAGTGGAATGAGTGGAACCCATCGATGTCCAGGCGCCAATTGGCCAAAGGAATTTTCTCGTCGGAAGGCAAGCCCGGTTAGCCCCCAGTGAACATCCGATTCAATCCAACCACTAGAATAGGAAACCTGAAATGGGTGGTGAGTTCACCTACCAACCAAAATGGGATCTCAAAACGGTTTTGACAACCGCAGCCATATGGGTATGAGTCAAAATTAAACCACCAGGAAATGGACCGCAGGTTTTAGTCGATGTTTCCATTTACCAGGGTTCTATTTTGGGTACGCATACCCATATCCACCCATTTTATAACCTATTTTAGTGGGGATTGAATCGGATGTTCACTGGACGGGATTGTGACCCATGGCCATACAATGCAGAGCCCAAAGCGACACACAGCGCCGTCGTTAAGTAAATTCGTCAGGCGCTGCAGCGGGCCTGGGGCGCTATGTGGATGCGCTCGCGGACGCGGCTGGAACCTGAGGGGGCGACAATCAAAGCCCGGGTCGGTTCCCGGAATGATATACTCGCAAAAAGTAATATATATATATATATATGTGTGTGTGTGTGCATATGATGAATATCATATATATATATATATCCAATATATACACCTGAAATGATTGGTTCCCTTTTGTCTTCCCTCCAAATACCAGCCGACAATTGGTCCACGTTCAGAACTCCCAAGTGAAGGATGTCATGCGCGCTGAGGACAAGTGCTGCCAGCTTCGACCTGACTGGTACAAGAGTCACGTGCGCCGGTTGGCCCAGGTCTAGGCTTGGCGATTCAACCCCTTTTTAAACACATCTTTGAACACACCTGAACCCTCAAAATTCCCTTAAAAATGGGTTTGACCCCCAAAATTATGGGGTGATATCCCATTTTTATGGGTAGTTTGAGGGTCCAGGAATATTCATTAAGCCACCTAGGCCTTGTTTGGGTTCCCTTATGGTGGCCAGGGCTTGGTATAGCAACATTTGCCCGACCCTGGTCCGGGTGAAGCATCCAAGTTGCGCATTCAAGGCCGTGGCCACGCTATGTTTCAGCTCAATCGAGTCACGGATGCGGAGGCGCTGTGCTAGTCGATTCGGGGAGGTTTGTTTGCATGCCCACGCCGGTTCTTAGGTTTCGGTTTGGGTGGGCCTTGATTGGTGGTTTGGATTGGTGGTTTGAGGAGTCGAACCCCTGGTTCTTGCAGAGGGTACATGGGAAACTGCACCATCAATCCAAACCGCCAATTGGAGGGAAGCTGATAAGTGTTATCGTTGTTGAAGGCCGTTGCGAGTTGCGCCTTTGTGCATTGGGTTGTAGGCATCAGGCTGCCTAGATCACTGACAATGCCAAAGTTCCCCCCTTTCGCAGTAATATAGCTTATGCAAAGCCTGCGGCGACCCGTCGACATCCGTTTAGCCGTTTTTCAGGCTCGCCCGAGTTGGGTACTTAGCTTGTGATGAGTTTCAGAGGAAGTATCATTCCGGAAAACGGAAATCGTTTGATTTTCCTTCTAGAGCAATCATCAGGATCTTTGTCTAGAAACCGATTTGGATGTGGCTTTTGTGGATCCCCCCCGTAGGATATTAAAAGAGTCCTAAACGAGCACGAAAAGGAGCTGCGGAAGAACAGGTGAAGTCCACAAAATGCGCATCCAAAGTGTTTTCTAGAACTTGGGTGCTGGCTTGGAATAGCCTTCACGGTGATTTTGACGAGTGCTGCGCGTTTCCCCCTCCACGTGTTTCTTTCCCTGCAAACTGAACAGATGTGGACACAATGGGCTTTCATTCATTGTTGGTTTTTGGAGGGGACAGCTTGTGGCACCTGCCTGTGGTTGTTTGTGGTCGAATGTTCATACTTAGATTGTTCCCACATATCCATTGGACACAGGGGGACTCAAGCTTAGCAAGCAAGCTTTCTGGCTGGTGTGTTGCCCCGAAGCAGTCGAAATGAGTTGCACTCGTCCACGGAAGTGGCGACGAGCTCGTCGGCCCAAAGCCCAAGCAGGAACTTGGCACTTCGTTTGGCTCAGGATGTTTTCTGCACCGCAGCAATGCCCTGGCAGGCATTTGCGGAGAATACAGCCTCAAAACCGCCAAGTTGAAGGGGACTAATGAGTGGAAGGAGCACATTTTAGCACACATGTCCCCTACCCAGAGTTTCACAGAAGAACCTCAAGCGCATGGCTTATTTTGGGAATGCATTGCGCCCACGGGTGACGTAAGTTCTCCGTTTGTGCATCATGCCGAAATGCTTCAAGTGCAACGCGCCGACGATGGATGCGCCGCATCCTTAGTCTGACTTCAATCCGTAAGGGGGAATGATCGCCACCTGATATGGTTTGGTGGCTCCCAGCCATCCGGTTCCTTAGCCTTTTAGCTTTTTAGTGTTTAGTGGCAGTTTCCATTTAACCCACTAAAAGTTAAACTTTTAGCGGGGGATCTGAGGGCAGCCCAGTTGTGATTTCGACTTTCTGTAAAACCAATCTTTAAAGTGTGCCCTGAAAGTAAGACACACCTATGTAAGCATGCTGACAGGGGCGTAGGCTCCCTTCAGGATGGAGTGTTCAAGTTGTAAGCACTGATCTGATTATCCAGCGTGGGACAAAGGTTGATGAAGCAAAGGTTGATCATTCAGTTAAGTCACATTGTGTGTTGAAGATAAGATCTTACTCTAACCACATGCGATCACCTGTTGTTCATCTAGTTACATTTGGGTGTGGTTCAAAATTAAGAAGCTAGGGTTATGCAGGCTTTAGTCACAGCCACTTGTGCTTGGGTGGTGAAGGCAGGCAGCACTAAGACGCGAAAGATCTCGGGTGGGGTGGTTCTGTAGCTAACACACAGGCGGAGCAAGCAGTTTCAACGTCTGTAAGCCGAGGAGTTGCCAAAAATTGGCAAAGCGGAGAGTTTTAGGGAATAGGGTTCCGTGCTTTGGGGTGTGCGGAGAATGGTAGCATGTCGTCTGCCACTAGCAGAATCTCCATTTGTTTTTGTTGTGTTTGGTGTTCATCCGCATGTAGTACAATCTAGATCGAACCACAACATGATAAGCAACTAGAACAATTTAGACGCAAGTTGATCTTGAACGCGAAAACTCACACGCGCGCCCATCAAGTGAAGCAGATCTGTCTAATCTGGCATTCTGTCGGAGATGCCTCTTAGTATTTCGGAAACAGTACCGTACCCCATCATCCTGGATCGTACACCGACCGTCGCTCACCTTTGGAGCCCATCGTTGGATGTCCAGAGATCTAATCCTTCAACTGGCACAGCAGACATTGGACGCACGAGCTCATGTCAGAATATTCACTTACTTTGCGCTTCGCTCGAGTGCATTTCCAGGCTGCGCTGCGCGAAATGCGCGCGGCCGGATGCTGAAGAGCGCTTTGCAATATGCCTCACCTGCCAAAGCGCATCTTGGCAGAAAACAGAATGGATGCATGCGCATAAGCATAACTTACTGCATGAATTACATCCCGCCGGGTGCGAAGCTTTCATTGGGTAAGTTGGCAATTGTCTCTAGGAGTTGTTTGATGCAGCCACGGCCTGGACACTATGTAAGAGGTTTGTGCATGTTTGATGTGAGCATGTGTCAGGACTTGGCTGCTCCAGATGATTTTTCATGTGTCCCCGGAAGGGTTTCTAGTTAGACACATGTCCACAGGGACATGCTGGGGCACGCGGGAAGGGTCACTCCTTCGAGGTAGCTTCAGTGCCCGCGACATGTCCCCGTTGCTCGGAGGAGCCAGCTGCCAAAGCTCGAGCTACTTGTTTGGCTTTGCATAGCTGTGGCCTTGTTAAGCTTGCCGTTTGTTTTTTTGTGTTGGGGAGGGGGGCCGCGACTATGTGTTTGGCGTTGTTTTTTCTTTGAAATGTTTACCACCATTCAAAGAGCGATGTTAGGAGTGTCACTTGAGTGAAGCCAGTTGCTGCCGCTGTTGCGTGTCATGCTGAGCAACATAATGACCGTAAAACTGATTTGTGCGGTGGAGGGCCAACTTTGACATTCACCTTCTCAGTGTTTTCTTATCGCTTGTTTGAGCAAGGGACTACCGTACGATGTTGCATAGTTGCATTGTTATTGGTATTATGATTAATATTATTAGTGTCATTGCAAGTAGTATCATTATCATTATCATTTTTGGTGTTATTGTCATTGCGATTATTGTAATATTGTTATTATTAGTGTTATGTCATCATTATTGTTATTGTTATGTCAATGTGGTTTAAGTCGTGACTAATGTGGATATGACCTTCGAGTAATTTGCATGTGATGTCGGTCCCATCCTTTGACACATATCAAACAAGGTGCTTGTGTCATGTGGGTCTGATTGATTGATCGGTGCCACGGTGTGTTGTTACATGTGCTGTTATTATTTGCCAGCGAGTGGCAGTTGGTCAGGTGATTGTTGGTGAGTTGCTTATCATTGCTACTGCTATGTGTGTTGCTGTTCAGCTGTTCTCTCGTGATCAATACTGCCCAACTTGAATTTCAACTCTTGACAATCACATGACGCTTCACACTTTCACCAAACATAGGTGAGGACTGATGTGAGTAGGATTGGTTAGGACTTGTGTGTAGCAGCCGGCCCCACAAATAGACGCAGGTGTCTGATGTGTGTGTGTGTGTGTGTCCGGGCTTCGTAGCGCTGGCCAAGCTGGGCTACGTGTTGTGCTTCCTTTCCGTGAGGTTTCCTTGAGCATCATACTCACGGGACAAGGTAAACGACTGGTTGCAGCAATTGCAGGAGTTCCGCTGAAATCGGACGACTGGCAATTTTTAAAATGCTGAACATACGTTGCAGAATTGAACAGCTTTTGACTGCGTGTTTTGGCAGACAGAACTTCTTATCAGTGCTTTCCTTCAACCACCAGGCATGACATGACAACGCGCATTTCACATGCTTACGCTCGTCATTCAAGTGCGAGAACCTAAGTTTCGAGCCGGTGCGGTGCTGCCATGGCCTTGTTTTGACAAGCGGACAATGCCCTGCTGGATCGTGTTGCTAGCCCCTACTGGGTTTGTGGTTCAGAAGTGATTAAGACGACTACAACAGGTAGTGGATCGCAATCCCCCGTGTTAGGATGTTTCCCATTTCACAACGAAGACATGGCTTTCCTCCACCTGAGCGAAGAACATCACCAAGCCAAACCAAGCTGTTTGCCCTGATGCATTTTGTCATGTTAAGTATCCTTTCGGTAAGTTGGCGCCGCCATTCCTGGCGTGCGCAACGCAGGAGACTCAGCTTCAGACCATTTCCGACGCCAGCTCTTCCTTTCGCGCCGCAGGCAGGGCGTTTTGGCGTTTTGCGGGAGAGGGGCAGCTGATTCCTTGCCCCAGCGCACCATTTTATGAGCGGGTCTTGTTTTGAAGGTGCCCCCTTTTTGAGGTTTTTGGACAGAAGAGCGGGAAATCTCAAAGAAGGGAGCATAGAAGGGCTCTTGGGTTTCAGGGAAACTTTTTAGATCTAAAACCAGTGCTTTTCCTGGTTTCCTCATTTGAAGCCACAAAGAAAAGCTCTCACTTCCCCCAATGTAGAAGTTTGTGAAAGAGATCCGTTCAACCTCCGTCTGCTCATGAAGGGAGCCACCCAAAGGGAGCCACCCAAAGGGAGCCACCCATCAAGCTAGCAGGAAAACAACTGGTTGCCTGCTTCACTGTGAACCGGGATCCACTGGCATGGACACTCACAACAACATTCCAGGCGGCCCCTTTGTTTTAGACCCGCTCCATAGAGCAGGACATAGCCATGCCGGGTTTATCACAGCCGCCCTTTAGTAGTAACGCATTGGAAGTATGTGTAGAGAGAGAAAACAGCAAAACAAGCTATGGCTATGTTGGTTGCCCTTTTTGTTTTTGTTATATATTTATATATTCCGATTGCTAATTACCTTTCATCAGGAGTTTCGACAGTGACATTTGTATATGCCAGCGAACGATGTGTTGCGGTGTGTAGACGACCTGCTTCTGTATTCGATGCCAGTCTTAGAAGCATGTTCGTGAAAGAAAGGCCAGTAGGTTCAATGAAGGACGCTCCCGTCGGCACACAACCGTGCAGCTGGTTTGGTGCTTCTCAAGTTGAGCTTTGGTGTTTTGGTTCTTAAGAAGTGCGTGAGACACCCCTGGCGAGGATGAGAGGCCCGGTTTTGAGCGCCAGTGCGGGTGCAAAACACTGGCAGAGGTGCATTTTGCTTGGATGTTAGGACTTTAGCTTCTTGCCAACACATGGGTTTTCCGTTAAACCACTAAGAGCAGAAAGCAACCGAGCTGGCTGGGGATCAAGCAGTATCCCCTAAGACGAGTCAAGATCGCCGGGCTGAGGCACCCTTGACAGCGCGCCGGTCTCCACCGGTTGCCTGGCGATGTCTGACTAAAAATGTGTGTGTGTGTGTGGTGTTTTGAAGGTGCCCTTTTTGGGGTTGATGTTAAGGAACTGGGTTACCGCCCATTTTGGGTGGGTCCCCGTTTTCGAGACATTCCCAATTTGTTTTCGGGGGAGCTTCATGTTTAGAATTGATCAAATATCCATTCAAACCGTGGCTGCTTGTCCTAGGGTCATTCTCTCATGCCCGGGGGCGGTACTGCGTTGCATTTTGAATGAATTCAGAAAACGGTCAGCATCGTTTGGCGAGCGTTTTATTTTTATCCATCTGAATGAGTTTTATACGGAGCTGGTTTTTGGGATACGCTTGTGTAGGCCTTTCCAGCAGCTGTTCCCTCGTCGCAATTTTCTACAAAGCATGGTGTAATGCAGTTTGGCGCTTCGATATTTTTCCTTCTTGTTTCTACGTAGGCTTTGCGCAGGCGCTCGTAGGTATTTACGTACCTATAGACCTTTTCTTACAGCCAGATCCTTTGCCAGATGTAGGGATGTGACTTGCACTGAAAAGGTGATGTTTGAGCGCCAGAGTGTCATTTGCGTACTACACTTGTCAACTTGAGGGTATAAGCCGGTGAGGAGTGCACATGAGTGTATACATATTATACAAAAACATATGTACGCCTCACTCTCTCTCTCTCTCTCTCGCTCTTCGTCTACACATTATATACAAGAATATATCCAACCGGCCACCGGGGAGTCATGCTGTGCTGATGCCCACAGCCTGACAAGTTCAAGAGTGCCCGACTTTGTCAAGGCTTGTGACTTGATTTCAATCATCCAGTGGAGTTTGTTTTCCTGTCTTCATGCATATGGTCAAATCTCGCAGGTTCTTACGACGCTAACCTCTGATGACACTTCCCCCCGCGATTTAGTGAGGATCCCTGTATTTGCGAGCATGAGAGCATTCCCTATGTGAGTTCAAGCTGCACCCTCTGCCCTTGCCTGAGGCAGCAAAGAGCCCGAGTCAGAGCCAGGCCAGCGGTCGAGTTGCTTTTGGAGTTGGTGGGTGAGGCAATGTGTGGCTGTAGGTCAAAAATACGTACCCCAAATTGATTTTGCCCCACCCCCATCTTAGGCATTTTGAACAACAGCAGCGCATTCTGACGCTCACGTGTATGCACACAACTTTCGCCCTATGTCAAACACATATTGGCATTTGCTGCGCGCTCGGCTACAGTGGATGTGAGGCTTCTCCAAGCGACAAACACTGACAGAGGAAATCATGGCTCCTTTGCATGTCCAGCAAGAAACGAGGCAGACAAGCAGGAGCAGCCACAATATTTTGTACGCCCCCACCCACCCCCCACGGTTCAGGGCTTCAGGGCACTTGACACTTGACTAGCTTTGAACACAGTGGTGTTGGTGAAGCCCTTTAGCCTTTGGAGCCTGTTTCACCTAGTCGCAGAAAACTTCAAACAACTGCAGCGTGCTTGCGGAATAGGTAGACTTCACACAATTAGTTCGATGACATTGTACTTGGGATCAGAATGCCAGCTCGTTTTCCATGTCGTGATTTTGTGCTTGTAAGTTTGCAGGGGAGAGTGGCAATAGATCAGCCAAAATGGCGAAGCAACCAACTAATGTGACAGGACGTATTGTCAGCAGAGGATTGAGGTTTGTTCGCACCTGCCTTTGCGACAGTCGTTCTTGAAATTTAATCCGGGATAATCTTAAAAGGACCCTCGCTTGGATGCTGCTCCGCATTCTAAGAGGATGCCAACTGTCAAATTCCTTTTTGGTGGATGTGAATGAAAGCAACAAGAAAGCGTTTGGGGGAGCAGCCCCGCTTTTTTCGTGTCGATTTTCTGTCAGGAGCTGACGCTGGCACCATTGACACCAAGCCGGAGGAAAGCAATGCCGAAGAGCAGACGCTTTTCCCAATTGACAAGCGTGAATGATCAGATTCATGCTCCCCTGAAACCGTCTCAAGAAATAGGATGGCACAATATGGCACAATAGTGCGCGTGTTTGTGCGCTGTTTCTCATTGATTTGACCGGGGGAGCATCCTTGCAAGTTCAGTTGAGGGCAAAGTCCATGCCCTGCTCATGGGCTTTGTCCCGGCTTTTTTCAGAAAGCCTTTGAATGGGGTCGGTGCTACCTTCAGAGTTTTGCTTACACCGTGTGAAAAATATGTGTTTTCTTGTTTTTCTGTTTCTTCAAGATTTGGTCTGATAATTTTACGCGTTAGGCAGACATTGGTTCCGTGGCTTGTGGCATGTTACCGCTTCGCAGCACCGACTCTACACCCCCAGCGGCCTCGAAGGCAGCTCGAGCCGAGGCGAACCATGGCGACCATTTCTTTTCTGAAAGGCATGGCGTGATCCAAACTTTGGCAAGGAGGATGTGCTATGTGTTGACACTACGAGCAGCTGCTATATCTATATATTTAATGTATATATATATATATATATACAGTATACATACACATGAGCGACTGACTTTTTTCACAGAACTTCCGTAGCTCATATATGGATATGCTGCTATATATAACACACGTGTACAACGTGCCTACCTATCACATGTCCATTATGTGTGCAATGAGCGGTTGCGCCATGCATCACTACCTGGTTGCTGCAGGTTGTGGACAACTTGCTGCGGCGAGAAAAGTGGCTTGGATGAGCCAAGATGAGCGGCAACTGCAAAAGCCTGCTTCTGGATGAGGCTAAACCACTGCTTGTTGAAAGGCTTCGGTTAGTATTATTGACTTTTTCCGAGTGAACACATATTCAGATAGGGTCATTGTGTATGTCATGGCATGTCGTGCAATGGAATGAAATGTAATGCAACGTAATGATGCGCAATGTGATACATGTATTGATGTTGTGTAATGTAAGTACAATGTGCTGTAATGCAATGGAGTGTAGTGTGGTGTAGTGTATGGTAATGTCACTATGTAGTGTCATGTACACCTGTATGTTTGTTTCTATGTGTGTCAGCCTGGTTCAAACCATGTTTTTGCCATGTCGCTCACTTCACGGGTCGTTTGTTGCTTTTGTTGGAAGCCGACGCCGAAGCGGCGGAGCCGCGGCACGGGAGGCCTGCTATCAAGAAGCCCTGCATCTGAATCCGCAGGCGGCTTGGACTTGAAGCAACGTGTGTCTGATGCTTTGACCTCCAAGAAGTCCTTTGAACGCCCCCCCTTTCCCCGAAAGTCCCCCCTCCCGGCCCGGGGGAGAAAAACAAAAAAAAACGGCACACAAAGAAAAAAACACGGCACCTACCGTAGCCTATGAAATGCACCCCTCTTGGTGGGCTCCGAAAGGTGAACCCTCCTTCGGGTAAGTGGGCCTATGTGTCAGGTTTTGACACCCCACCCCCCTCAAAACAAAAACACCCGGCACCTACCGTAAACCAGCCCCAAGAAAGACCCAACGTCAGCCCAGGAAACCTATGCCGCTGAAACTGTGTGATTGTGCGGTTCTTGGAAGGTGTTGCTGAGAGCATGTGCCGGCCGGAAAACACGTCTGTGTTTGCATCATACGGGTGGTGCAGGCAAAGATTCCCGCTGACTTGGTGTGGAGTCCTAATTGCGGATCTCGTAGCTCTCCCAAGTGAGGTATCCCAGGTCTTGGCAACACAACTTGGGGAAGCAGCATAACACCTTAAGGAGGAAATGCCAAGCTTCGCACGTCAGCAAGCCGTCACAAGACTTGCCTGACAGGACAAGTCCGTGGAGGAAGCGTGGCAGCCCCAGGCTCCAAAACAAGCACTCGTGACTCGTAGTCGATGCTGACCATTGGTTTCATCAGCGCTACAGCCATCGTGCGCATGTGAAGATGGTTTTTCAGACTACTGATCATCATTCAGCTTTCCCACATTCGGCGCACCGGCAGTCAAGCAGCATTTTGAGAAGAGAAGAGATGCAGCACATGGGCCTTGAATTTGGTTGCTGGGCGACCTGAGCTTTTGTTACTGGTTGGATGCGACGGGCTTGATCCAATGCCTTTCAGGTTGGAGCGCTGCCTTCAGCGCAAGCGCGGAGGCGCTGCAGCCGGCGGTGCCGGCATGCAGCCCAACGCAATGCAGCAGCAGCCAGCGGCCAACCCAATGGCCATGCAGACCATGGGCGGCATGCAGCCAGGCATGCAGCCTATGGGCGGCATGATGCCAGGCATGCAGCAAATGCCGGGCATGATGCCAGGCATGCAGCAAATGCCGGGCATGATGCCAGGCATGCAGCAAATGCCGGGCATGATGCCAGGAATGATGCCCGGCATGCAGCCAGGAATGATGCCCGGCATGCAGCCAGGAATGATTCCCGGCATGCAGCCAGGAATGATGCCCGGCATGCAGCCCATGGGTGTTCAGCCCATGGGTATGATGGGCATGCAAGCCATGCCTGGTATGCAAATGGGTGGAATGCCTGGCATGCAGCCGATGGCGATGCAGAACCCAGCTTTTAACCAGCCCTGCTGGCTTGTTTCTCGGGATGCTGGCGTCATTGCGTTGTTTTTGGATCAAGCAAAGACTACGATAGGGGGCATCAGGAAAGGCGGGGTAGGGGCCCTGGTTGCCTTTTTCCCCGATAGGGAGCAGTTTGAGTTGTGAAGTAGACTTTCTTTCCCCGAGTCAATTTCAGCAAGAATTTTAGTGGTACAAACTGTAAACTTCTTGGGTAAGCAGGCAGGCAGGCAGGTTGGCAGGCTCATGTTTGAGCATGCAGGCAGGCAGGCAGGCAGGCAGGCAGGTTGGCAGGCTCATGTTTGAGCATGCAGGCAGGCAGGCAGGCAGGCAGGCAGGCAGGCAGGCAGGCAGGCAGGCAGGCAGGCAGGCAGGCAGGCAGGCAGGCAGGCAGGCAGGTTGGCAGGTGCATGTTTTCGAAATCCCAAAGAAAACTCCCCAAGAGCCAAATGGAACTTGCCAGTTGCTTGTGGCTTCTGAGAGGAAAGCATTGGGGAGGGAGGATCGAGTTGGGATCACGAGAAAGACACATGGCTAGTTCGGTATTGGAGGATTGGCCTATGCTAAGTTTAGTATTCCCGGACCTGACTTTTTTTGGGGTCTGGGGTCTGGAGTCCTTGATGCTTCTATGTCATTTGGGGGACCGCAAAATACGTAATCTGCGCACAGCCCAGCACGCAATCCCCTGGCGTTTTGAGTGCTTGTGGAAGTCTCGAGAACGTCTGACGACGATTGCTTCAAGGTTGACTGCGCCTCCGGACGTGTCGTGCTATCTCGTTTGCAGAACAGCGACTACCCAACACTTGCAAGGTTTCAGCATCAAAAGCGATGGATGAACAAACCCCAAAGACGAATCCTAGCAGCTTGAGCCAGTGCTTCAAGATGTCCAATCAAATCACATTCTCCAGGTGTGGCGTAGACACCAACACTCACCAATGAATGCGGCCTAAAACCTCAAGCTCCAGATTGGGGTCATTACCGTGACCGTTTCTAGGGGTTATCAAAGTCAGAAATGGGGGGTTGTTTCCTCTACGTAGGGGGTGACTTTGACAATGGTAAAATAATTGGGCCAGCTATATAGACCCTCCCAACCATTGCCAGAAGAAGGGCAGCAACCTTGAGATGGCTCCCGCCAATTTGATCACTGCGAGCTTGTCGCCCAGCAAGTTCTTGCTCCGACTGACCTGGAGCTCCGAAGGGTCGACAAGCTACACGGATGGTTGGCTTTCAAAGGGAGACCGAGAGGAGAACCGCTTCTTCTGCGCGTTTGTTTTTGTTCTCTCTTTTTTTGTTTGTCCGTTGCATTCTGCCAACCCGCTTTGATAGTTTTCTAAGGGTTGTTTCCCCATTCTTTCCAACCATTCGTTCTTTTCGAAAACCGGCCGTTTCCCTGGGTTTCCGGAGGATCCCTGGAAAGAATGGAAATGGAAGGTAGCACTAGAAGTTTGTTTTAAAGGGAGACCATGGGAGACGGTTTCTCTTGTTTTCCGGTTTGTTTACGCAACTCACGCACGTGCGCCAGGCCAGGTCTCCGGGAGACTGCCGGAGGGTTTGCGCCTCAGCTCCGGGCAAGAAGCTGGGGCAGACCGGAGAGAAGTCACTATGCAATGTATATGACATATATATATATATATGGGTGTGGCTCAATTTTTTAAGGGCTAGGGTTACGCAGGTGTTGGTCTTTGTTTGCATGCAAGGGGCCCAAAAATGGACTCTGGACTCCACTTTTTTGAGCCACAGCCATATATATATATATATACATGCTCACCCCCAACCCCCCCCTATGATCTACATTTGCATGCGCATGGGTCCTTGTCAGACACATTTTGCCTGAAGCTTTTTGGCTCTCTCCTTGTATTTGTTCTGTCTAGTATCGGACTATATATATATATATATGCTGTGTACATGTGTGTTTGTGAGGATATCCTTTTCAACCAAGTCAACCATTTTTGGGATCCCCTTCTGATGCCTATGCTGCAATCAACACAGATTTTGATGAGGACGAACCGAACACCTGACGAGCGGCTTGGCTCGAGATCGCGTCAGGTTGCCAGGCCTGCAACCTGCCCGGGGCCCAAAGATGCTCAGTGCCTGGCTTAAACTCGCCGGTGCTCAGTAAGGAATGAGGGAACCTTCATAAACCATCCAACTGGTGGTTTTCTTTAGGGGGACCAATGGGTTCATTCAACCACATTCCTTACGTATCGCACCAGCAAGTAAAGCTATATAGCTCACTGGATCAGTTTCTAGCCATAGAGATGCCTGCACTTGTGTCATTCACCCGATAAACCCGCGGCAGGGCGGCCTGCCCACGGATTTCCAGAAGCTCAGTGAGAAGGACTGCCTGAGCTGGCAGAAACACTCTCGCAGTCTCTTGTTCTGAGGGTTTTTGTATTACACCCTGGGATTACACCCTTGGGAAATGACCCAGAATGCTTCAAAACGCAGTTTTATCCGGAGTTTTGCCTTGGGGTCAATACCCAGTTGGTGTATTCCCAGGGTGTAATACAAAAACCCTTGGACTTGTTAGTTTGGGGGCACGAGGGTCCCGCTTTGCCAACGGCCAAATTTTCATGGGCCGTGGGCCCTTAAAAGAGATATTCCAGGAGACCCAGTTGCCCCCCTCGGAAAACTCGTGTCCAGGAAAGTTATTGCTTGTGTTTTTGTGTGTGTGTTTTTCGTTGTATGGTATTGGGACCCTGAAGTTAGTTTTTTTGTAGCAATTCCACATAACCTTGTGCCCCAGGAACATGTTTGATCATGTTACAAGATGAGAGTCAATTTGGGTGGTGAAGGACCCCAGCAAGAATTTGTGAACATTGTGGATGTTAAATGACTGATGTTTGATATCTGCACATCGCTTGGTTTGTCTATGTGGAGTATGAGGTGCTGTTCAATGCTCCGTTGGAATTCCAAGGGGGGGGTTCCCCAAACGGCTTCCTTCGAAGAAACCCCAAGCAAGCTACCCTTACGAGGGAAGACGTACCCACATCTCAGAGTTGAGATGACAGGCGTAAATGGCCTTTCAATACCTCGAAAGCAAGTACATGCGACAACAATTGTCTCTTGAAAGCAACCAACAAGCTGAGCCGAGCATGAATCATTGCGAAACCACAGCTTATCCCATCTTTTCCTCTCCAGCCCCGGTTTTTCAACCCAAAAACTCCAACCAGCTCACTGGAGATCTGCCAAAGCTCCCTCAGCTCAAGTGGCACTCGGCTGCCCAGAGCTCCGCTCGAGGAGATGCGGCAGCGCTTGGAAGAAAGCCCCGGCGCTCAGAGTCGACGCCGAGTCGACGCCGCGCAGACCTAATGCTTGTTGGCGCTGGCATCCGTAGCTCAGCATCTTGCAGGTTTCTTATTATGTCATATACGGGTATGTCATAGTAGGTGTGTTTTTGTCTTGTGAAGCACCCCCCCCCAGATTTGGCCTGCTTTAAAGGGAAACCGATTGGAAACCACTTTTGGGGGATCCCCTGTTTTGAGACCATCGCATCTGTTTCTCCTGGATGACCTGTCAGGCAAGCAGCAGCCATGCGCCTCGCGCCAATCTCTTAGTTAAGACAACAATGTCGATGTCTAGGGTGCATTGTAAGAGGTCCCGCATTCACTAGCAAATTGTAGCATGAGCTCCTCATATCCAGCTATGATATGCGTCCCTGCAAATTCACCTGGAACCCTAACAAACACAACTTTTAGGGCCGTCTTTTTGGGTGTCCTGACATGAATTTGCCGGAGAAATAGTGGCCAAGGCATATATGCCGAGGCTTCGCATGCCCGAGCGACCCCCGGATACCATTGACTCTTATTCCTACCCGGGCTGCAAAAGAGATGGAGTGTCCATTCATTGGGTGGCCCTAAATGGATCAAGCAATTTCCAGGTAAATAGGTTCTAGGATGCTACACGCATGTTGTCCTTTGCTCCCCGTTTCTCGCAATCCGTTCGGGGTGTCCTTTGAACCGTTTCCCGCCCGCCGAACCGTTTCCCGGAGCGAGCGAGCTGAGGCGTGGCGAAGCTCTCCGATGAGCAACTGGATGAGGAACTGCAAGCGGCAGGAGCCGAAGAACCCGGCCGGAAATGGCACCCTGGGGACCCGAAAGGCCACCCCATGGGTTGTAGGGTATCTGATTCCAGGTTTGAATGGCGACTCAATGGGTGCAAGCATGCAAGCAGAACCTGGGGAAGTCAGAAATCGGGGTGTTTTGTAACAGCGTTGATGAATTGGACAACCCCTATTCATGAGCCGAGAGTTGATGAATCCTGGGCTTGCACTATTGCATTGAGAACTCAAAAACTTCATGCGCAAATGTTTTGGCACGTCCTCGTTTCAACCTGTTTGTTCTTGATTCAGACTTTGGACATACCATAGATGAGCGGGTGGTATTTGTTTGTTGGTTCGTTGGTTCGTTTGTTTGCCTGTCCTGTTTGCCTCTCTTTCGGAGGGGGACTCAGCCGGGAAGGAAGCCCTAGGTCTGCGGTTTTGCAACCTGCTTTGCTGGTCTTTTGTCCATGTCGAGCGCTGACAGGCATTCCCTCCTGCACCATTTGGGGTATGGGACTCACTCAGTCTTTTTTTGGTTCCATTGCACTCGACTGACCTGTTTTGTTTGCAGTGTGCAGTGTCTGTGAAGCATTGGGCACAGCTCTGTGCAGCCAAGTTGCGACAGCCAGCTCTGCCTCTGTTATTTGTCTCTCTGGCTGTTTGGCTGTCTATCTCTCTGTCCGGCTGTCGCTCTGCCTCTTTGTCTCGCTGTTTTTCTGTCTCTCTGTCCCTCTGTTTTCTTTGGGGTCCCTCTTTCCTGCTGTCTCTCAGCTTCGATACAGCACACTTGTTCTGTGGCTCAAAAGAACATGGTCAACCCAGTGATAGGGTGCGGAGCCCTGGTGCAAGAGTCAAACGTCAGATCAGGCTGCTTTTCGGACCTGCGTTTCGACTTCACTGAAGCAGTTGTACAAGATTGCGGCGGTGGCTCTGCGTCAAGGATGTGGCTGTGGGTCAAAACCAATTGGGATCCGTGAGAAAATCAAAGCTGGTGAAACCTGCGCGGAAGTCCATGGCCAAGTCTCGCCTGGGCCCAAAAGAGGCCTGCGGGCTGCACGAAAGATCGTGCTGGAAGCGGCGCGACATCTCACGGGCTCCGGTGCAAGCTTGGGTTTACAGGGAGCCAGAACGCCAGAAAACGCCAGTCTGGACGTGATGTTTGATTTGGCCCCGTCAGGAATTCGACTGCCAGCCAATGCCACAAGAGCAGACAAGGCGTGGAGAGGGCAGGGCTGGTGGGATGTCATGTTCCGATGCTCCGGTGTTTCCTAGGTCCCCCAGTAGTGCCCTTTGACCCTTTTTTGATTGGGAGGGTTCCCCTACTAAAATAGACTACAGAAAAAAGGGTACCCTTATTCTAATCTCTTTACTGGAGGACCTAGTTTCAGAACGTCTTTTACTGGCCTTTCCAACATTACAGTGAGTGAGGTCGTTGAAGGTCATGTTGTTATGTACCCTTTCGGGTGGGCAACATAGTTGTATATCTCTCTTTGCATGTTACACACACAATCTTTCCAGGGCATTGCCAGTGACACCGACCTCTTGTGGGGCACATGGTTTATGTATTGCCATGAGGGCTTGGCAACTCGAAAACGTGAAGCTTGAGCTAAGAGAGAGACAGAGAGAGGGAGAGAGAGAGGCTTGCAGTGCGATTGTCAATTCAGTCTGCCAACGTGTTTGATGGGGAAGCACGACGCGCTAACCAAGTGGAGCAAGTGGATCAGTGAGGTCGCTCACTCGTTAAACACATGATATTTCTGAAATATCGTACTTCGATTGGGAACACAACGATCAGCCCAGAGTTTATGCTCTGGGCAATGACAATGACACGTAAACATGATGAACAGCGACCACAATCCAGCAAGTTACGGAACACGTCTTGCCAGATTCTAGGCTTGTTGAATGGACTTCAACATGAGCTAGAATCAAACCTGGTTTCTATGTTCAGGCGTATAATGTAAGGATCCCTGTACCAGTACTAGATACTGGATGTCGTTGGTTCACTTGCAATCTGTGCGGAATCCGCATCACAATCCTGGCATCGCCATGTCAGGTGAACCAGTATTTGCAGGTGGACATGGCAACAAGTCCAGCGCAGGGAGCCTTATGGACCTGGCCAAAAGTCGGAGTTGCCATGTAGAGTTCTGCATATAGCTGTGGGTCAAAACTAATGGTACCGTTTTGGGGTAGGTGCACCACCCATTTTAGTTTATTTTAGCAGGGATTTCATGTTCACTGGCGGTACGGGATTTTGACCCATGGCCAGATCTCTATTCGGCTGCGTTTGCCTTTGCGTGTGGACCCTTGGACCCTTCTGGTGAGGCTCCGACCCCTCAGGACAACCCAACTGCCCTTACATTTTGGCGCTTTTCCTTAAAGGCTCAGGCAGTGGTCGGGTGCCTTGGGTTTCCTGTGGTGGAGGGTTGGGCGTTATGTACACAAACCGGAACGGGCGTAAGTTAGATGAGGCCCGTCGTGGAGAAGCGACAGCCAGTCATGGCCCGATTCGTGCGGGGCCCGGGACTGCGGGACCGCGTGGCTCAGATAGGTGGGGCCTGGAGCTCCGGTTGACCCGGCGGATCCCAGCGAATTCAGAGAACGCTTTGGATATGTGTTGGTTTCCTTCTAAACCTTCCCTGTTCTTGGCATGTTTTTAGTTGTTTTTAGTTTTTTGGTTCTGTTCATTTTTACTGGGGGTCTGCAAAAACAAAGTTTTTTGCTACCATACCAAGAGTAGAGATAAATCCGTTGGACATCCCTTTGTGCGCTTGGTGTTTGTCTGGAAGACGGTAAGCAATTCAGCCTGCGGCAGGACGCCTGCGCAAATTCAGCAGGTAGCTTGTCGTTGCGCGTAACGTCCATCTGGGATTCTTCGGGCTCGTAAAGCCCCGCAGACAAAGGGACCCGGAATACAGTTCCCTGGCCCAGGTTGATTGATTACTACCAAGACTTGCTGGGGGCCAAATTTGAGTTTTCCTTTGATTTAGTATTGCTGGAGCATCCGCTTGAGATTGCATTAGGGACTTAAGCTTCAATTTGAAATTGCATTTTGTTTACATAGTATTGCGTGAGAGGATTTTCCATTTGATTAGTGTTGCTGGATTTGAGTTTCCGTTTCTTTGAGTATTGCTGGATTTGATAATTGGCCATCACTGGATTTGAGTTTCATGTCATTGTGTACTTGGGTTCAACTTCGGAGGCCTGAAGTACTATCTCTTTTGTGGGTTTGATTGTGGGCAGTTATTAAGCAAGAGATGTGCAAGAAAACATGAGCTTGGGGAAGCTGAACATGTTTCAGGCCCAAATCCAACAACAAAGCCTGACGTTTCACCAGCATCACCTGGGCTGTCTAATGCAATAGCTGAGAGGTTCACTGCTCAAGCTGTGTTTGTTTCAGGGGGAGGGACAGTCTATTGTGCTGAAATAAAGTTTGAGAGTGCATTTGATTTTGCTCCGACTTTATTAGTTTTTGGGGTTGCCGGGGTGCTTGTCTTTCCAGATGCCTTCATGTTTTTTCTTGGGCCCGCTTGTCTTTATTTCGGGCTCAATCTTTATAGGTGGAGATTCACGTGGCAGCCCGAAGCCGCTTCTCCGATTGTTTGGTTGAATCCCATGGTGGCCATCCAAAAGTTTGTGCGGGCATAATTTGGAGCCGCATTCGGATAACACGAGTCAAGCAAGTGGAAGGGCCGATGGTTCGTCTCAAAGGGCCCTGTAAAACTGCGATGACTCCCGTCCCAGCTTGTGGTTTGCCCATTCCCTTTGAAACCCCGTGTTGGTTGTTCTTGTTGTGTTTTCACTTGAAAGGCAACTAGCAGCACTGGGTGCCTTGTGTTTTTATGGCCACTGTACACTCAACTCCCGGAAAATAGCTAGGTGCCCCAGTGTTTTTTCTCCTCTCTTTCTTGGGGGAGGGTTCCCCTACTAAAATAGACTACAGAAAAAAACCAACGGGTACCCTCATTCTAACCCCTCTACTGGACCTAAGTGCGCTGGATTCCTTTTTCCCTTCAAACCTGGAAGCTCAAAAGGCACAGACACCGTCAGACCGTGCCGAGGGCAGCGGCCATGGTGATACTCGCGGGGATCGGCTCATGGAAAAACGGAAGAAGTGGGTGGAGGCCTTCGGATTTTTTGCCGAGGTTGACGCGTCAAAAGGATGGCTAGGTCCCCCCAGAAGTGCCCTTTGACCCTTTTTTGATTGGGAGGGTGCCCCTACTAAAATAGACTACAGAAAAAAGGGTACCCTTATTCTAATATCTCTACTGGAGGACCTAGATGGGGTCATAACTGGGGTCATTGTTTTGACTGTTTCTGGGGGTTATCAAAGTCAGAAACTGGGGTGGTGTCCCAAATCAACCTACCACTTAGCCACTTGGGGTGACTTTGACAATGTTACAAGAACGGGGCTAGCCTAAGCGTGGGTGCGGTTACCCCTTGAATTCTGGACATGATTTGGGTAGACATGGTGGTGCCAGGTGTTGATTGAATCAGATGCCCAATGTGCTGCAAGAGGGAACTTCTTGCAAATGGTTTGTGGACATAAATCCCTGCACTTGATGTTCACTGAAAGGGTCCCTAATTGGAATTGATACCCTAATATCCACGAGTACAAAGTAGGACAATGTTTGCACCAATACAGAGCGTGGACACTAGATGTGGCATGGAGCGTGAAAGCCCGCACGCAATCAGAGCCAGTTCCGATGAGGGACAACGCACCATGCCGGCCCCGCGCTTAGGAGATTGAAACATGACTGTCTGGCACTGTGGCTTGCATGCCAACATGCCATCATCAGCCACAGCCTGTTACGTCACATGAGCGCAAAGCAGCAGTCGGACATTGTCCGGGATTGGCGGCACTTGGGGCCCTACTGGTTAACTACACTTTACGTGGGTCAGGATTGAGTTGGTATCGGCAGGATTTCGTCACAGGGCAAGCGGTGCGCTCTGAGAGGGCAGGGAATATGCAATTGAGCTTTTAGAAAAATGGCGGTGTGTGCTGCCAAGTATGTCACGGAACAGAACAAATATCGACCATGGTACATGTCACGTGGCGGGGAGTCGCTGATCTTGTGCGACAGAGCTGTTTAACTCTGGCTTTCAACCGCTGAAAGCTATGGGGTCTCTGCCCAGATGGGCTCTGGGGTGAGATCTTCGTGTTTGGATGATTTTGAAGTAACTAACTTCTTATGGATGCCTTTTCTCTATGGGCTGTGGCTCTCTATTCGTTTCAAGGTTCCGACAAGGGCTCCAGGGTTCCGTGGATGGCCAGGAGTGGAACACCTGGGATGAGGCGCAGCGCATAGAATCCACTGGAGTTGTGGAGAGGGAGCTGGAGTTCCTTCAGCTCGTAGCAGATTCCCTGTTTTCAAGGGCTAGGCCCACGGCTTGTCTTGTTTTGCTTTGGGCTAGGAGATCCGCCAGGGCAGTTGAAGTATTCCTTGAGCAAACGCTGTGTGTATCAGTTTGAGAAAGGTGGTTTGCTCATCATGCCTACGGGGAGCATGTGTGCGATCAGGTTGCAAGATCACAGCACAATCCCACACACACAATGCAACGGGGCTTCTTCATTAACCTTGCCAGGAAGGCAGCGTCCCTTTGCGGAGGTTTCAACGATCAACCATCTCATGTTGTTTTTTGATTCTTGCTTTTTGAGAGTTTCAGAGTAGCCGTAGTTATCCGTCATTGCATTGCGTGGTTTGCCATTGATTCTCCAAACGAGGGAGCGCTCAAGATTGCATCACATACCATGCGCTGCATGGCCTTTTGCCCTGCAGTGTTCCCGAATAGACGCCGCCGGCTCGCGTCAATTTTTCGAACCCGAGCTCCTAAAGCTTGGTGATGGTCCCCTTTCAGTAGCCGCAACACCAATGGAGCGTCTCAAGCATGATATGGGTGTGGGTCAAACATAGGTACACAAAATGGAACCCTGGTAAATGGAAACAACGACCAAAACCTGCGGTCCCCTGGTGGCTTAATTTTGACCCATACCCATACGCATGCCATGGCGGGCATGATGACAAATCATCCATTTCGATGATATTGCCCTTAGATGTTTTTCATCCGCTGCGTCTACTCCCCTGCTGCAGACCAACATCGAAACCAAACCTGGGGTCCCCGCAAATCAGATGTTCATGTTTTTGTAGGCACATAATTCTTTGGGTTCCATGATTCTTGGGGCAAAAAGTTTCAAAATGATGTCCTCTAGGGATGGTTTGTTGGGTCATGTTACTTTGGCGGAGATGTTTGCCGGGCAAGTCCTACTTCGCCGGACTCCCAAGGAGATTCCTCTGATAATGTTGGGCTTCGTGTTACTTAGGGAGTTTTTGGCCGGGGTTCACTGGGACTTGCAGCCTGTGGCGGGGTATTACCCTGGTTTCTAGCCACTTGACCACAATTTTGAAGTAGCCTGCACTTTGTTACAACTGTGGTTACTATACACCACCCAACCACTTCCCAAAGGTGTGAATGCCTCCAAAAATGGCAATGGGAAGCTCCAAAACCGCTTCAGGGTCTAGGTCCCCCAGTAGTGCCTTTCTCTCCCCTTTTTTGGTTGGGAGGGTTCCCCTACTAAAGTAGACAAACCAGAAGAAAAATCAGGTACCCACTTCTTCTAACCGAACCTCTACTGGAGGACCTAGATGGGGTCCTAACTGGGGTCATTGTTTCGACTGTTTCCGGGATTTCTCAAAGTCAGAAACTGGTTGGTGCTGTCCCAAGTCAACCTACCACTTAGCCATTTGGGGTGGCTTTGACCATGTTAAAATCACTTGACTTTGGCTCGCCAGGACCGGCTGCTGCATCGCCTGCTGAAGCTCGGCATCGACGCCTCAGGGCGAGTCGGGGGGAGGGGACCTCGGAGGCTTGAGGAATGGATCCTGAGAAACTCCAAGGCGTTTGGCTCTGTAAAGGCTACTTGGGTGTGTCAAGATTGAAGAGCTAGGGTAGATGTTCCTGAGCCACGGTCACTTGGTGGTAATAGTCGGTGAATTTGGTGGTGATAAGATACCAATAGTAAGGCAATAGTAGGTTTTTCCTCCTACCAAGCGACCACCAACTCTAGCTACTTGGAAGGTTTGGTGATTTAGTACGGTAGTAGCTAGCACAGACTCTCCTTCGCCACGGTTGAAGGGTTTTAAATCAATTGGTTCCGGTTGGACATAAGAGTATAGTTTTCAAGCACTACATTTGCGAGGGTTGTCTTTTGCTTGAACGAAGGTCCCATATGCAACCCAAGGGCAGCTGCCGGAAACCAGGTCGATGTATGCGGCACTTCATAAAGCTTAGTCCGACTCTCATGATTGAAACGCACATGGGTTGAAGGGACGCCAATGGGAAACCACCATTTGGGAGTGACGTTTTTTTCAGACACACCCGCAACGGCAATCCGGAGATTCGGCTACTTGATTCTGAGTGTGGCAGACTCAGTTTGCGCCAGTCTCCGGACAAAACAAGACCTGGAACCTCCATGTTGCCCATTTTGCGTCAGACCCACAAAATTGTTCGAAGTATTTTCACCTCCTGCAGCTTGGCTTCGATCGATCTCCTTTCGGCTTCAGAAGATCCGATTTAGGAAAAAGGCCGCTAGCGGCCTGCCAACTATGCTGGACAACCTGGGAAACCGTTTCATTTTTCCGGCCCCGCAGCCCTCGTATGGAGCACAGTCCTACAAGAGGAACCTATGCTGGATCCCGTGGAACAGCGTGATCTCGCCCAAGCGCATGGGAGACGAACAGAGTGCCAGCGGCATTCCATGCCTTTGGTTTCCAGCTCCCAAGGCGGCCACGGTGATTCTGTTCTTTCATGCAAATGCAGAGGACTTGGGCATGTCATTCGCCGTGCTGCGACACATTCGTGATCAGTTCAAGGTGAACGTGCTAGCCGTAGAGTACCCGGGCTATGGCTTGCTCCACCACATGGAGCCATCGGAAGACGCGGTGTACGAAGTCGCGCTCACCGCCTTCAGGTTCCTCGTGGACGAGATCGGAGTCAGATATTCCCAGATCATCCTCTTCGGAAGATCGCTGGGGAGCGGGCCAGCGGTCTTCCTGGCAGCGCAATACCCAGTGGGAGGCTTGATCCTGGTCTCCGCCTTCTCCTCCATCAAGGCCCTGGCGGTCAGAAACTTGAAACCACCCAGTGTCTCAAGGCTTCTAGGGATATACTTCAAAAGCTCTGGTTGGCTTTTGTTTGAAGCAAGCAGGCAAAAAGGGATAGGCTGTTCCAAGTACCAGACCTTGACCAGTAAAGGGGCACCAAAACTTGGTGGTTCCCAGCCATCCCCTTAGTTTTTTAGGTTTTTAATGTTTAGTGGTTGGATTTCCATTTACTAAAAGTTATTCACTTTTGGCGGGGGATCTGAACACGGGCAGCCCGGAAAAGGGTTGATGTTTCAACGGTGGCAACGCATAGCAGCTCGCCCAAGGCAGCGGTGCAGAGTATTGTCGGGCGCGTCCTCGCGTGGACCTTCACCGAGCGATTCCCAAACAGCCGGATCATCGCCAATGTGTCGTGCTCCACGATGCTCGGCGATTCCTAAGTGGGTAAGGGTCAAAATCAAACCACCAGGAAATGGACCGCAGATGTTAGTCCTATTTTGGGTACCTATTTTTGGCTACCTAGTTTTGGGTACCTATTGTTGACCCACAGCCAAGTATCCTTTCACTTTTAGTCAATTGATCCTTGAGTGATATTTTTTTGCGGGTTTGACATGTGGAAGTTGAACCTTTCATGCTCAACAAAGGCTGTTCATCCACGGAGAGTCCGATAGTCTTATCCCGGCGGAGCATTCGCTACGACTTTTCAAACGATGTAGGGCCAGGAAGCTGCTAGTGACGCCACCCAAGATGGAGCACAACTCGAACCTCTTCGGCGATGCGTCCTTCCTAGCAGTGCCTGCCATCCACTTTTTTGGGTTCCCGGGGTACTACACTGCCTCACCTCCTAGACTGCATGCTCATTTGTTCGAAGATGCCACCAAACGAGCACGACTCAAGGAGAAAAACAAGGAGGTCTCATCCTTAACGAAGCCTTCCTGGCTTTGTGATTGCCTGGCCAAAGGAGATGCGCAGCATATGGATGTGACCTTTTGCCGACAGGAGAACTCTGTGGAGGACATCACCATTCGTTTCACCGAGCAGTCCGCACAGCCAGAGGCTGATCTCAAAGGAGAACTCGAAGCTGACTCACAGGAAGCAGTTCAGACGTCTCAGCCTTGAATTCGAGATGATGACAATGTGCTAGAAGTCAAAAGTGTAACGAAAGCGCTGGGCGTATCATGGTCGATGTCTTTTCTGCTGCGGGTTGCTGATATGTGTGATGGGTTTGTCTTCTAATTTTCATGAAGGCCTCTGTTGGTGCCTTTTGGGAGACCTTTACGGACCAAAGTGCACATTGACAAGATGCGGCCACCAAATTGCTTGATCTACAATATATAACGCACCCTAGGAACACATATCGTTTTTCCCAGACCCAAATCTCCCACTGAGATTAGACTGAAGCAATACTAAACCAATTCTAAACGAGCAAGTTTCTCGTTAACCCCAACTCCAGTTTTCGGGGATATCTTAGAACCAATGCTAAACCAGTACTAATTTTACACCAATTCGAAATCAGGGCAAAAATAAACCTGACTTTCAGCTTTTTGAGTTCCTCAATCTGAAATTGCCAACATTCTGAGCGCTTTTTGGGCCCTTCAGGGGGGACTCCAATGAACGAGGACTGTAGCGGAACCCCGTAACGTCAGAAATGCAGCCGATTGATAAATGTTGTTTGGCCCACAGGCGAACAGATTCGCGCATGTAGCCTTCACGCAAAGACACAAAGATTGGGCAAGGCCCGAATATCCCCATTGAAGGCATCGCAAGAGGTAAAGATTCGTTACATCAAGAAGGGCGCTTGAGAACGTGAGATTCAATCGTAGGCGCAGGTCAAATCCAAGAATAAGGATATCACATCACTTTTTGGGCCACTATGACCACTGTTGTATGTCAGTTTCCTCTGGTGATGTTTAAGGCAAAGTGCAGGGAGCCCTGTTTGGCGTGTCCTTCCACCTGTTTCATCAATTCCCCATTGAGCGCGCAAGGCCGATGCCTATTTGCCAAAATCGTAGGCCCCGATTTTAGTGGGAAACCACCCAACCTTCAAACCGATCCAACCAATTCCCATCCACATTTTCCCATGGAACCTGACCTTTTGGGGTCCCAATCCGAAGATGGAAGTGTCCCTTTAAAAAACGGGACCAAATCTTTGCGTTCCCTTGGTGGCTCCCAGCCATCCGGTTCCTCAGCTTTTGTTTTTACTTTTATTTATATAGTGTTTAGTCGTAGTTTCCATTTAACCCACTAAAAGTTATTCACTTTTAGTGGGGGATTTGAAAACGGGCAGCCCAGTCCAATGGATCCCTGGACAGAGGGAAGCCTGCTGCGCCAGGAACCCCAAGAGTCGGCTCATCGACATCCTCCTGGAAGCTGAGACGGAGCGCTTGAACAAGCGACTTGGGGCGGGCATTTAGGCGTTTTAGGCACCAGCCGTGAAAGGCGCTCAAAATGGTGGACCCCGCTCCAAGCATGAGACGAAATATGGACCAACAAGGGAAAACCAAAAGGTATTTTTGACCCACAGCCAATCGGTGGACCCTTGTGGTTGGTATGGAAGTTCAAAAATGAACACCAACAGCACATCAGCTATTTCAGGAATTGGTGGCATTGAAATTTGAATGGAAACCAACAGCACTTCAGGGATTTCAGGAATGGATCGCTATGTTCAGAACCCGCTCCCACATCCCAATACACCTGAGTTGTGTTTAGTGCCAGTTTTTGCTGCATGTCCCTTGAAATCTGTCAATCAAATAAGTCTTTTGAGGTGCGGATGATACATGTTCAGCCACAAGACTTTGTTTGGCGGTTCCCAGCCAAACCCTGAGACTGTCTCGCCGTCTCAGGCAGAGGTGCACGCCAAAGCGTTTGCAGTTCTTCGGCCGGGCCCACAGCGCTCGCTTCGACAGTCCGCTTGTTTCTACCTGTTGGCCTGTTGGGTGGGGTTGATTGGATTGAGTTTGAGTCGGGTGAAGTGGTTGGGTGGGGTGTTTGTGGGGTGCGCTTTGGCTTCCTTAGCGTCCTTCCACTTGGCACTTCGTACTGGCACTGGTCTTTTCGCTTTTTCGCTCGTGCAAAAGGAGGTTCGCAGAACAAGGCAACGGTTGGTGTAGCTTCACCCATGTTCAGCTTCACCTTTCTGTTGAACGGAACGCTCAGCCGGAAGAAGCTGAAAGGAAGCCTTCCAAGCCGAGGCATCGCCTGTGCTGTCAGCATGGTGCTGGGCACTTTTGTCTTAGTTGCCTTTCTCTTCATCGTCAGCAACTGAGCCCCGGACTACTTCTCCAAGTCACTCGCAGAGTGACTTCAATGCAACTCTCTTGGGTTCTTTGGATCTGGGGCTTCCGCCATCTTTTTTTTACAATGGTCAACCAGGACACTACAAGTTGGCCGGAACAGGCCATTGGTTGAGCATTGAAGTGTTCCACATACCAACAATCAGCCGCATTGAAACAGGTAAATTATTCTCACCATGAATCGCCAGTTAGAACACTCGCAGCCTGCCACTTGAAACATATCGTCTGAATAAAGGCGGCCAAGCGCGATTTCTTCTCTTTCAGCCAGTGGCCAGGCTCTGGGTGACCAAACAATGTGACGTTTTGGTTTTACTTAGGCAAGAAGAATGGCCGGCAGAAGTCATACATTATGCTCATGCTGTTTCACTCTCTCCCTGCTCCAGATTATTTGAAGCGCATTGTTAGTCTTGAAGCCACCCACATGTGCGATGCTTGTGTTCCCCCAACCAAGTTAACGCGGAATCTGGCACAGGATCCCATTTGGACAGCGCACATCCCCGACGGTGTTCCCTCGATTGATGTGGGAGAGACATCGGTTTGCTCCGAATCAACCCTGCATGTTTCGCTGGCATCCTTTTTGCACTTTGGCAATATCCGGTTCCCAAATTTCAGCACCGCTTTGCTGGACTCCCCAACAGCTCAGTAAGGGATATTTATGTCCTGGGCTCAGAATTCAGCGGAATTCGACATGCGAAGCATGGATCGATCTCAATATTTGGCCTCGCCAAATGGCGATGGCCTTGGATTTGGGTTTGGCATATTTTGTGGGGGAAGCCCCTTTTTGTTAAACGAAGAGGAACACCATGTTTGAGGCTCCCCAATTTTAAGGCAAGCCCATTTCTGCTTCCTGGCATGGCGAGTCGGCTTCAAGGCTTGAGAATGACTCTCAACAGCGAAGTCAGATAACGGTCGAATTTCGTTTCAGGGCACCGTTTGAGGGTACGGCCCCAAAGGGAATGACAGGGAAAAAAGTGCATTGCAATCGTTTGTTTGTTTGTTTGTTTGTTTGATTGTTTGTTCGTGTGTTTGTGTGTTTGTCTGTGGTTGTTGTGATTGTTGGCTGATGGTTGTTGGCAGTTGGTTGTTGGTTGTTGGCTGTTGGTTGTTGGTTGCCGGTTGTTGTTGTTGTTGTTGTTGTTGTTGTTGTTGTTGTTGTTGTTGTTGTTGTTGTTGTTGTTGTTGTTGTTGTTGTTGTTGTTGTTGTTGTTGTTGTTGTCGTTGTTGTCGTTGTTGTCGTTGTTGTCGTTGTTGTCGTTGTTGTGTTGTTGTTGTCGTTGTTGTCGTTGTTGTCGTTGTTGTTGTTGTTGTTGTTGTTGTTGTTGTTGTTGTTGTTGTTGTTGTGTGTTGTTGTTGTGGTGTTGTTGGTGTTGTTGGTGTTGTTTGTTGTTGTTGTTGGTGTTGTTTGTTGTTTGTTGTTGTTGTTGTTGTTGTTGTTGTTGTTGTTGTTGTTGTTGTTGTTGTTGTTGTTGTTGTTGTTTGTTGTTTGTGGTTGTGTTGTTGTTGTTGTTTGTTGTTGTTGTTGTTGTTGTTGTTGTTGTTGTTGTTGTTGTTGTTGTTGTTGTTGTTGTTGTTGTTGCTGTTGTTGTTGTTGTTGTTGTTGTTGTTGTTGTTGTTGTTGTTGTTGTTGCTGTTGCTGTTGTTGTTGTTGTTGTTGTTGTTGTTGTTGTTGTTGTGAGCGAATTGGACATGCAAGCAAATATCACAGCTCCCTGTTGGTTGCACGGTTTATCTTTGATTTCAACACTATGCCTAGGTGGCAGTCGATTTGTTGGAATGAAGCTGTTGCAGAAATGCACTAGGGTATGAACCATTTGCAGGGATACATGTCGGCCAGTCCGTCAAAGTTGCGATACCTTTTTTTTTGCGACACTGTATTGAGCGCCAGATGCCCTTCAGCCAATACAGCTGCGATTCCTTTAGCAATGCAAATCATCGGCCAAAGCACTCCTAGAGAATGGGTACTGTTAGTTTAGTCTGTGTTGCTTGTGTTGAAAGCAAGCGGGACCTTGGTCGACCATATTTCGTTGCATTTGAAGGTTTATTTGACAAAGACCTGAAGCACTTCTTTTGTTCGGTGGACAGTGAAGCTGAGCTGGTGGCTCTTGGATAGCAAGATGTTCGCAATGGTCTCTGCCACCAAAGCCGGCAAGTTCCATCGGGAGGCTGTTTGCGCCCTGTGCAGATTGCAGAGTGTGGACTGATGGGATCACGCATGGTTGCTTCGAGTAATGGCTGAGAATGGGAGAACTCCCTTAGCATGACGTTCAATGACCCAACATACCCAGGAGGGATCCAAGTTTTGAACCGCATTTCTTTGGGACCCTCTGCTCTGTGCGACTGCAGCGTCTGTCGTTAGCGTGGAAAAGAGTTGAGGGGCAGCTCATGAAGGGGGGGCTACACGATCGAACGAATGGAGATGATCCTCTTGTGTTGTCATGCTCGCTTCTTCGTTTTGGGCTGCTCCTGCCAAACCAGAGCGATCCTTGAAAGAAATCCACGAGCAAACCTCAGCTTCACTGTTTTCCCTCCATGCCGTTGACGCTTTGATCCAACAGGGCAAGGAATTGTGCGACGCCGGCCACAAGATCTTGGAAACATCTGGGGATGTTTTTGGATGTCTTTGGGTCATGGCTTTGGAAGATAGGAGTCTGAAATACTGACCTGTGTAAAGACTTGTTGAGAAGCTGACAGCAAATACAGATTGCATAACTGCTCATGAGCCCATCAAATTCAATCCTCAGTTGAACATTGCATTGGGCCGTCGCAACTGTTATATTTGTGTTTCTTTAGTGGCCGAGTTTTTGCATTGCTAAAAAAGCCTTTTGGCCGCTACACAGTGAGCCGGAGTGTCTGGACTCCGTTTGGTTCGGGTAGGTCCGAGTCACCCCGGGCTCAGGTGCCGACATGCTCTCTTCCCGCGCCAGAGCGCCTTGGCAAAGACATGATCTGCCAATGGCATCTCCACTCGTTCGGCAGAAGGAGAATGGGTAGTTCACTCCACTTAGACTACCTGGGTCTTTCAGTAGTGCCCTTGTACCAACTTTTTGGGGGAGGGTTCCCCTACTAAAATCGGCTGCAGAAAAAAGGGTACCCTTATTCTGACCTCTCTACTGGAGGACCTAGCTACGCTGCAATGGCTTGCAAGCTTGGCCTTGCAATAATCAGATGGCACTCAGTCACACACACAAACACATTATCACGCGGTGAGGCCTGAAGATTGCAATGAAGACCTCAAATTGCTGGACACGTGTGCATCATGTGAATCGTAGGGCTCGCAAGGCTTCTTGAGGCCGAGTTTCTGGGGATCAGTCATGGGATCTCGGTGCCAAATGGCTCAACAGCCCTGGCAAGACTGCGTATGTCATGCTCATCCCAGACAAAAGAGACATGTATTGAAGGGAGGGGCTTTGCTGGTCCCAATGTACTCCAAAGCAGAATCCGCATGAAAAGGCCAGAAAAATGGCTGCCTCACTTTGTTTTAGCCAAGCTTGAGCCGCCCAATTGCGTGCTTTTACACTGCCAGGGACTGAATCATGGAATGTTGGAAGCCAGTCAAGTGAGATCGCAAGGAAATGGACTCATTCATGTCCCACAGACTTGCTGTGGATGCCCCTGCTGTTCTCTGCAATCGAGCGAGAATAGTCTCAGCTATAGCAGGCCACTCCGAAGTCAGATGGAAAGGACGGGCCTGGCAACTCTAGCGATGCTTCCTTAAGATGCAGAGTGTCCAAAACAGCGCAAACGTCACGCCCTGCATGACACTGAGTGGGCGGCATGTGTATTTGATCAGCAGACAGGCAGCGCAGATTTGCAAGTATATTGAATGCGCAACCCAATGACACCCTTTCTCCAACGTTCTAAGCGCATTTGTCAAACGCTGAATGTATACGTCCATGACCCCTGGTATGAACCTCTAGTTTGTGGGTGAACTAAGCGATAGTTCTGGCTTTATGATGGACCGTCAGCCTCCAAATTATGCAAATTGCCATGGGTTCACAGGGCCTCTACATTCAGCCTTTGAGCTTGCTGGTGCAAGACTGCCTGGCCGTGTCCCATTAGGCGAGCGCTTCGCCGGGGATCCAATGTGCGAATGGGTTGCGACAGTTGCTTTTTGGTTCATGTACGCCCCCTAAGATCCAAGATGCAGCCCAAAGGCCAACTCGTTTTGGAATCTCCTTTTGGGGTTTTTGATAGGAGCATCTCCTTTTGGAACCTCCTTTTGGGGTTTTGGAATCTCCTTTTGGGGTTCCACGCAATTTTTCCCCGCAAATAGTTTGATAGGAGTCTTGACTGTTTACTTCTATGACGCGGTTTTCTCCCCCGGACCGAATGGCAGGAGCTCTGAACCAACGAAAGCCACCAAACCAAAAGGCTACTCTCGGGATATGATTCGGTGGTTCCACTTACCGGGGCCAGGAGCTTGTTGAGGCACCTGGGGGGCCTTTTGGGCACCGGGTTTCTCTTTGTCTAGGTCCCCCAGTGCCCTTTCTCACCGAAACCTTTTTGGTTGGGAGATTCGGTTCCCCTACTAAAATAGACTACAGACAAAATCGGGCACTCTTATTCTAACCTCTCTACTGGAGGACCTAGTTTTGCGATTTGAGCATTTCAAGCCAAGTGACCGTATCGATGTTCAGCATTCTTATAGCCTCACTTGCCCAATCCGTTCCCAAAGTGGATCAGCACCTCGTGTTTTGCCACGCCGAGAGTGGAACTTCTGGAGATGACTCGGGTTCGATGGCACATGTTCCTTCTGCTGCCAACTTGAGATGATTCTTCCAAGTTTGTTTTGGATGGAGCCTCTGGCAACGGGCGACCATATGGTTATTGTTGGCTTGTCAAGCACAGTGGACATGTTCGTTTCAGCCCCGAGAACCCCTGAGAAACCTTATTTGCATGTCAAAGTGTATTTGAGCCTATGTAGTGGATGTTCCACTCACCATATCCCATCAAAGCCACGAGTTGCGATTGTTGGGTCGCACCCCATGCTATGACAACATTA